ATCTTGGAACTCACTATGTAGACCAGGCTGGCCTCGAACTCAGAGATGTGCCTGGCTCTGCCTCCCGAGTGGTGGGATTAAAGGCGTGCGCCACCACACCTGGCTTAACTTTTTCTTTTCTTAAGATTTACTTTTATTATTTATGTATGTCTCTGTCTGCGCATGTGAGTTTGGGCGCTAATGGAGGCCAGGGTGCAGGATCCCCAGGGCTGGAGTTACAGGAGGTCGTGAGTCACCTGACATGAATGTTGAGAATAAACTCCTGTCTTCTGCAGGAGCAGCAAGTGCAGTTCTGAGTGCTGAGCAGTCTCTCCAGCTCTGTGGAATACCGCTCTAGTTTGATGCCCACCTAGACTACTTTGTTGAGATCAAATGTCAAAAAAAATTTAAACTGTACAGTGGTGGCACACACCTTTAGTCCTAACACTCAGGAGGCAGGGGCAGGCAGGCAGGTCTCTGTGAGTTCAAGGCCAGCCTGGTCTACATAGTGTGTTGCAGGACATTCAGGGCTACACAGAGAAACCCTGTCTCAAAAAAACAAACAACAAAATTTAAGGCGTGGAAAGTCGCTCAATTGACAGGATGCTTGCCTAGCACACACAAAGCCCCTCAGTTCGATCCCCAGCATCACGTAGAACTTGACCTGGTGGCGCACCCACCCCTGCAGTCCCGGAATTTGTAATGCAGAGTCAGAAGAGCAGAAGTTCAAGGTCATCCTGAGCCACGCTGTCTCAAAGACACTAAAAAAATTCTCGTGGTTGGGAATATGTCTAGGTGTCTATGAACAGCAGTATGTAGTGTGTGTGTGTGTGTGTGTGTGTGTGTGTGTGTGTGTGTGCGCGCGCGCGCGCGCGCGTGCTTGCACTGGGCTCACCTATGCATGTGTATTCCAAATCTGTGGTCTACATTAGGTGGCTTCCTCTATTCCCCCTCCTTTGGTTTGGAGACAGAGCCTCTCACTTGGCTTGGACTTGCTGCTTTAGCTAGGCTGGTTATTCTGCACATCCTCAGGACCTGTCTGTCCCTGTTGCTCAGTGCTGAGGCTGTAGGTGTGTACTGAACGTCATGGCTTTTTTTTAAACATGGTGCTAGACATGCAAACTGCAGTCCTCCTCCCTGCACAGAAACACATGGAGCCATCTCACCAGCTCCTCTACGGAGTGTCTCTTCAAGGAGGGGGGCGGGGCTGACGACAAGCATTTGTTGATTCCCATGATGTGAATACTCCAGCAGAGACTGGCTTCCAGTTCCTACAATCCACAGCGATTCACTGAAGAAGCAGTTAGGGGGTGAGGCGGACAATGGGCTCTCCCGAGCTGGCATGAGCTGGCACAAGCTGACGCCAACACGCCACGGTTCGTGTATCCAAATGCGGATATTCAGCCTGCCATTGGACAGACGCCAAGTCTGCACACTGAGAAGATTCAACTGGGTTTGAGTGCTGTTAGAGGACTAAGTGGGTAAAGAGGCCGAGAAGATGGCACAGTCGGTAAAAACGCCTGACGCAGAAGCGTAAGGACCTGAGTTCACATCCTTAGCACACACAGCGAGACGCCAGGCGTGCTGGCGTGGCAGAACTCAGCACTGGCAGAGGGGACGGCGGATGTCTGGGGTCACTGGCCAGCCAAGCTCATCAGTGGACTCCAGCTTCATTGAGAGAATCCTGTCTCAACAAATAAGAGCGTGATAGAGCGAGATGCCTGGCTTCGACCTGTGGTCTCTATCTACATGCGTGTGTACCTACAACCACACACACACACACACACACACACACACACACACACACACGCACACCAGGAACAAATAATAAATATTCCAAAAGGCAAGACTAATTGGACTCAGTGGGGTGCAGAAAAATAAAAAGGAAAAACATGAAGGTAGAATGGGCGTGCACTGGGGGTGTGTAAGATAGAGGGAAGGCAAGAGTTGGGGTAGATGTGATCAAGATACTTGTATGAAATAGTCTTTGACGAAACAAAAGCTATCCTAAAAATAATAAAAGCAGTAAATTTTTAAATTGGGGTTGGGCTATGAAGATGACTCGGTGGATTTAGGGCACTTACTGGCATCTCGGAGAGCGTGGAACCCACCCGGCAGAAGGAGGGGGCGGATTCCTGCAAGCTGTCCTCTGACCTCCACAGGTGCACACGGCAACCTGTGCCCACACGCACACACTGCACATCATTAACACACACACACACACACACACACACACACACACACACACACAACAATAATAAAACAAAATACAAAATGAAATAACTAAAGTGGGTTTGGGGTGTGTAAGCTGTGTAAGCAGAAGGCAACTGAGAGAGACGAGAAAGATCACATGTGAGTGAGTGAGTGTGTGTGTGTGTGTGTGTGTGTGTGTATGGAGCTGTGTATATGTGCAGATGTGCCCACTCCGTGTGTATGTGTGTGTATGCACACACACAGGTACATAGCATGTATGTGTAGGTCAGAGGACATCTTGCAAGAGTTGGTTCTCTCCTTCCACCATGTGGGTCCCATGGGGCAAAGGGAGGCTTGGCACCAAGTGTCTTCATCCCCTGAGCCATCTTGATGATGTCCCCAAAGGAGGATCTTCATGGAGGGAGGGGGGTGGAATTCAGGTGACATGAAGCAGAAAGAAGGCCTGTTTGTGAGAAGGAAGGTAGGGAAGGGGGGTGGGGTGGGCAAGGGCAGTGGGGGAGGGGATGAACAGAGTGCCATGACGGTGTGTATAAATGTCAGAATGAAACCCATCACTTTGTATGCTAACTTTAAAAATTAACTTAGAATTCATTAAAGGAACAAAAAAAAGCAAGTAATTTCAAGCATTGTTGAGTATGTCTGTAATCCAATATTCAGAAGGCTGAGGCAGGAGGATCAAGAGCTCAAGGCCAGCCTGGGATACATAGTGAATCCCTATTCAAAAAAACCCAATATATATGAAAAAAAAAAGCCCTAAAGTAAGTGAATAAGTAGAATGAAAAGTAAGCATCAGCTTGGGATATTATCCAGTGGCAGGGCACTCGCCTGAAGCCCTGGGTCTGATCCCCGTCTCCTTTGCCAAAACCCACAGCAGACATTTGACTCTCCAGGATCTTCCCATGCTGCTCCATCCTTCATGACTTCCCTAGGCCTCTATTTCCAAAGCCTCAGCCACTCAGGCCTCCAACTGCCTCACTGCCCACACGTCCTCACGTCACTTACGTGCGTTTTCCTGGGTACGGAGGAACAAAACATCTACTATAGAAACAAGCCCACCCAAGGTGCTGGGAAGACAGCCCCCATAGTAAGCACATGGACATGAGTTTCATGTGTAAAAGCCATGTGAAATAGCAGGGCATGGTGGTTTGTCTAAAATCTTGGTATTGGAGCGCCTGAGGCTCTGGGCAGCCAGCCTTACTGATTCGGTGAGTTTCAGGTCAGTGAGAGACAAGCTGGAGGCTTGGGAGAGAAGTTGTTGGGGAAGATCACTTGCTATGAAAGCATGATGACCTGAATTTGAAACTTAAGCACCCATGGAAAAAGATGGGCGTGTCCATGCACCTCTAGCCCCAGCCCTGTGGGAGACAGAGATGTGAAGACCTCTGAGGCTTGCTGGCTGCCAGCCTAGCTCTAGGTTCAGTGGGAGACCCCGCCTCAAGGGGAGAAGGTGGTGAATGATAGAGCAGGACCCCCAACACCGCTCTGGCCTCCATGGGTACACCAGCACCAGGACACACACGCACCCCCAAAAAGAAAAGGATGAAACAAACGTGGATGGTGTTCCTAAGGAACAACACCCGAGCTCTTCACGGATCTGTACACGCGTGCATGTCCCTCTGTACCCACATACCCACCCCCATACACATAGGAACTTAGAAAGAAGCCACTTGGGCCAGGTGCAGTGGCACACACCTTTCATCGCAGCACTCAGGAGCCAGAGGCAAGAGGATCTCTGTGAGTTTGAGGCCAGCCAGGTCTATAGTTTGATAAACTGGCGAGTTTATATGAATTTACTGGGGAGAATGAGTATCACCTCTCAAAAGTTACATCCCTGGAGCTCGCTGCCCAGCCTTCAGGCAGCTCCACCAGAGAGTCTCGTTTCCCCAGCAGTTATGAGCTGCTTATATAAGCTTGGGGGAGGGGCCCTGTGGGACGTGTAATGTCGGTAAGTGCGCTGAGCCTTGCAGGTTTCCTTATGATCCTCCCGCCTCACTCCTGCCAGGAAGGCTTCCATGTGGAGGACGCAGCTAGGCACAGTTACTCTCTCAGCCTCCTCTCAGCGCCTTGCACATGGTCTAGCGAGGCTCCCAGTGGTCTCTGTGCTGCTCAGCCCGGTGCACACACCTCAGAGCAGTCTTGGTTCATCTATCTGTGGCACGGAACGGCTGTTCTTCCGCATTGCCTATTGAGAAAATTTTGGATTCCGGAACCCCACATTCTCCCGAGTTTCCCTGCATCTCTCTGGCTTCCTGCTTTGGCAGTTTGGAGAATGGCTGACCTCTAAATGTTGGAGTTCCTTAGAGGTTGGTCTTTGGCCATTTTTGTCTTTTCCCTGAGCCTTTTTTTAATGACGTCATCTGCTTGAATGTGCCACTCACTCTTAAGGCTCCATTCCAAGCAGGATTTCTGTGTTGAGTCCCAGACCAGCTTCTACACCACACAGTGAACATTTCTCTCTGTGCCTCAGATCTAAAACTTCTACCTTCCTCCTCAAGTGTCTCCTCTCTCAAATATATTGTGTCCCCAGCACAGTGAGGGAAGGGAATCGATAAAAACTGAGCACCAGGGGATGTCTGTATGAAGACGAAGTAATGGAATCCATCTCTATGTACATACCTTCAGGCCGTGTGGTTGACAGCTCGATGGGAGTTAGAGGATCACCTGGGAGACAGGCTTCTAGGTGTGTCTGCCAGGGTGTTTCCCGAAAGATTTAGTGGAGGTGGGAAGGCCCACTTTAGTGTGGGCGGTATCACGGCATCACAGCGTCAACTGAAGGCCTGGACTGAATAAAAAGGAGAAAGCGAGCGAGCATCAGTGTTCATGCGCTCTGCTTCCTGGCTGTCCGTAAACAGTGTGACCAGTTCCTCGCGGCCCTGCCATGAAGCTTTTCCCGTCGTGGTAGACTGTGTCCCCTCACACTGCAAGCCCAAATAAACCCTTCCTTCCTTAAGTTGCTTCCGGCGAAGCAGCTGATGCTGGGCATCGACACTGACTTTCCTTCCCATGCTCACCGCTGTCTTCCTCCTCTGTCGACCACAGTCTCCCTGAAAGGTGAGGGCCGCACTCTCAGTGCCTGCGACAGAGCCTCCAGGACTCAGGACGTCGCCAGGGCTCAGGAAATATTGGCTCAGTGAGCTAAAACAGGGAAGCCTATTATCGTAGAAATCAGCACCAGAGGCGGCAGCTCTGCAGAGGCTGGCGCTAGGCAGCGAGTTCACTTAAGGGGTCTCCAGGAAGTCACTTTGCCCCTTTGGACTTTAAGACAATGGGAGTAAACAACCTAGAAGGTCCTTTCCAAATTCCAATGCTGACTCTATTACCTATATACATCATAGAATTCACAAGTGCACATATGTGCAATCTGTGATAATGAATGTTGCTAAAACAAATAAACAAACAAAAACAGAAGCTGGTGCACGATTTTAATCCCAGCACAAGGGAGGCAGAGGCAGGAGATATCTGAGTTCAAGGCCAACCTGGTCTACAGAGCAGAGTTCCAGGACAGCCAGAGCTACACAGAGAAACCTTGTCTTTAAAAAAACAAACAAGAAAAAACAAAAAACTGAATGACTAGTGTTGCTTCTTTGTTTTGTTTTATGTCCTGTGTTTTTGAGACAGGGTGTTGCTATGTAGGTCTGGAGTTACAAGTGTGGGCAACCGCTTCTGATGACTAGGTGGTTTAAGTGGGTAGTGGTGGATGGTGTCTTCCTCAATTACTCTGAACCTTACGTTTATTTTATTTTATGTGTATGCATTTTTTGCTTGTACATATGTGTGTGCCTTGTATGTGAACCTGATGTACCAGAAGAGGGCATTTGATTCCCTGGAACTGGAGTTACAGAAGGTTTTGAGCCACCATGGAAGTCCTGGCAACTGACCCCGGGACCTCTGGAAGAGCAGTAAGTGCTCTTAGCTGCGGAACCACCTCTCCAGCTCCCACCTTGATTTTTGAGACAAGATATCTCACTGAACCTTGAACTCACTGATTAAATGAGTCTGGCTGTCCAGCAACCCCTCAGGTTTGCCCCAAGTTTCAGTTTCCGTCTCCCAGATGTTGGGACTGTAGGCATGATCATTGTGCCTGGATTTTTTTTTTTTTTTTTTCAAGACAGGGTTTCTCTGTGTAGCTTTGGAGCCTATTCTGGAGCTCACTCTGTAGCCGGGGCTGGCCTCGAACTCACAGAGATCCGCCTGCCTCTGCCTCCTGAGTGCCAGGATTAAATGTGCGCCACCACTGCCTGAACTGTATTTTTTTTTAACATGTTTTTGGGGATCAAACTCGGGTCCTCATGTTTGCATGGCAAGAACTTTGCTGACTGAGCCCTCTCCCAAGTCTCCCCCCACCACACACTGTTTGAGGCAGGGTCTCATGTAGCCCAGCCTGGCCTCCAGCTCAACATGCAGGTAAAGATGAATGTGAACTCTGGATTCTTCTGTCTTTATAAGTGTCCACGAAATCCACCACACTCTATTTCGAATAGTTTGTTTTGATCCACTCAACTATGAGGACTGTCCGAAGGCCATACGGCAACTTGAATTTTCCCCACTTTCACTATCTACGGTGATCGGTCTCCCAACAATCCTGGAGACTTGAGGATAATCGTCAATGCACTCATTGAACAGGTTTGGGAACCAAGCCTCAATCTTTTATTGTGCTCTCTCGGTGGAGGCGCTCCACGATGTAGTTTCCTTCAACGGCTGCACAGTCAAGTTACGAAAGCTGCCTGAGATCGCGATCTCAATTGATCCGTAAACAGTATCGTGAGGATTAATAAGCAAAGTATATAGGCTGGAGAGGGGGTTCCGTGGATAGAACCTTTGCCTAGCATTCTGGAAGCCCAGAGTTCCACCCTGCATAAACCAGGCACAGAGGTGCATACATTCTAATCCCAGCACTGGGGAGGCAGAAGCAGGCACGGAGGTGCATACATTCTACTTGAGAGGTAGAAGCAGGGGGATTTAATAGATCAGGGTCATCCTTGGCTATGTGTAGTGGGCTCACGATACAAAACAAAACCCTTTAGCCGTGCAAATCAATGAATATGAACTGTTATTGCTGCGGTGCGAGGCCTAGTCTAGGAGCCTACAACCCCCCACAGGGCTGCGCTGAAGAACTGTTTGGGTGTTACTCCCTCTAACTGCATTTTCTGGGCTCCTAGCGGTCACCCACCGCTGTCTTTTTTTGCCCCTCTGTCCTACACGGGTTTGGACTCCTCTAGCTCCGCCTCCGGGAAGGGGGCGTGGCCTCACGCAGAGGGGCGTGGCCAAGCCGAGAACTGGGCCTTCGAGCCTCCAGTCTGGAGCCGCCCAATGTCGGGGGGTGGGGGGAGTGAGAGGGGGGGCGGAGGAAGACTGGAAGGAGGTCGGTCACGTGACCGGAGAGGGGGGGTTCACCCTCCCCTATGCCTCTACCACCTCTGCCGTCCCTGGGGAGGACGGTCTTTGCCCCTTTTGCAGGAAGTCAGCTTACTTACCGTGGTCCGGGCTGAGCTGGAAAACCTCGGCGCGGTGCTCTTCCCGTGCCGGAGTCCGTGCGCGCCCCTGCCGCGGCGCGGTCGCCTCCCCGCTCCCCCCCCCCCCGCACTCGGGCAGTTGGTCTCGCCCAGCCTGGCCCTGGGCGCGGCGGCGGCGGCCGCGTCACTGGCGGGCGGGATCCCTCCGCTCTGGGGAGAGCTGCGCTGGACGGTTGAGTTGGGGTGACTGAGGAAATCCATCCGCGTCGCCGCCGCCGCCGCCGCCGCCGCCTCCGCCGCGGAGGAAGACAGGACCGCCCGCGCTCCTGCAAGCGACCCCTTGGCAGAGTCCCGCCACCCCCAGGTACCTCCGCTGACAAAAGGAGTCCTCCTCGCCCCCAGCCCCAAATTCCCACGGGTGTGTGCGCGGCAGGGGGAAGCCCCCGTCCCTTCCGTCTCCCGGGTTTGGCTCTTGGGAAGCGGACGTAACTCCCCAGACCTCCCCTCCCTTCCTCTGGCCCGGTCGCTTCCGAACCCGGAAGGGGAACTGGGGGGGACCCTCGGCTTCAATAATGCATGCGTTCCCTGCGGTATCAGTGGCAAATTTTTTTTATTTGACCCTAAACCCCCATCCCAGCCCCGCCTGCCTCTTGCTCCCTTCATAGCTGGGGGGCTAGATTCCGGGTTTTTTCTCGGTCCTGTCCCGCCCCCTTGCCCCACCACCACCCTGCTGCCTGCCCCTGGGTAGCAGCCCTCGTGCCCACTCGTTTCCAAGCCCTGCTTGTGTTGGACGTGCAGAACTCCGGAATCCTAGGAGATACAGCCAAGGCCTCAAGGCCACCCTTGCCTTCGTCTCCACCCTGCCGTCTGTCCCTTGATTTGGGCTCTGGCTGTGTTTTTTTCTTTCTTTTTTTCCCCGAGTCCCCTACCCCACCCTGGAGATCTCAGCACCTTTTTCTTTTTACAAATCCCTACCCCACGTCTAGCTCCTAGTCGCCTGTCCCCTTTGCCCAGCCTTCTTTTGGGCAAAATGGAGGTCCTGGCCCACTGCACTTCCCAGCACAGCACCAGCCTGCGCCTTCCAGCTGCCAGATCTGAGGACCCTTCCTGGTCTCCTCTCACACCTGCGGAGGCGGTGGCACACCCCCCCCCTTATTTTGTTTGGGGGCTGTGGTGGTTTTATTCCTAGAATCTAGGAGCTGCTGAGGTTGTCTTGGAGGAGAAGGGAATCTTAGGGCATGGCCCCCGACCCAGTGGCTTCTTCCTGGCCTGTTTTCCCTCTGCCCCAGGCCTGTGTCATTGCGGCTAGACCTGGGCTGCTGGACGCTGGGAGGAAGGAGCGTCTGTCCACAGCTGGAGTGGGGTGGTGCCGGTGTCGTTGCCCGCTCCCCTCTCATTGTGGAGGGGCATCCCCTGGCGCTGGCGCAGAAAGCTGAACTCAGAGGGGGAAATGTCGCTGGGGAAGAGGAACGCCCAGTGGCTGGGGGAAGTGGGAGCTGGGTGGGGGACGCCTGGGTCGCCAGAGTGCAGTGTGCACGGCCAGATCGCACAGGTGTCCCGGGGAAGGCAGGACGTCGGAGGCTGGAGCGGTGCCAGCTAGGCCTCGGGGGCTCCTGGGCGTAGAGCTGGGCTCTTGGGGTGCCTAGGGGCATCGGGCCAAGCCGTCTGGGGCCGCTTGCCGGCGCCTGGGAGAGAACAGCTCCGCGCCCCGGGGGCCGAGGGCCTCTCTCCGGAGCCCTAATTACTTCTGAGCGGCTCCCACGGGCTTTGTGCGGGCGCGGCGGGGCGGGCGACCTCGGCGCTGGAGGGAGCAGGCTGCTTGGGGGCTTGCCTGCCCCGCTGCCCTCAGCGGCTAATGGGGTGCAGCCGGCCCGGAATGGGGATTATCCCGGGTTGAGCCGTCCCGAACCTATTAGCGCTCAATCGGCTTTTCCCAAATCCTGTAAACAGCCACCCTGGCCTGTTCTGGGGAAGAGGCGGGAGACTAGGTCGGGCGGGGGCGATGGGGGCCGGGGGTGGGGTCACCCACCCTACAGGTCTCTGCCGCGGATGCGGTTGCCTTGGCAACGAGGCTAGGGTGGGGGCCCTTCACCAATGAGGTGCTCTCAGTCCGGGTGACGGTTGCCTAGGCAACCCCACGAACAGCCTAGCTTCTCCCCTCAGCCCCCCCCCCCATCACCACCTCTGTCTTAGCTGGGGGTGTGTGTGGAGGGTGTGCGGTGTGTGGGGGTGCATTTAAAGAGGCACCGCCCCTTTTTAAAATTAGGTGCTGGGAGGGCGGCGCCTTGTGCGGGCTGGGGCGGACGCCAGGTCTGTTTTTGAAGGGACTCCCCCCCCCCCCATCCCCAGTTCCTGCCGCCCGAGTGTCCCGCCCGGGCTGCTGTCCGAGGGAGGGGTTTCCCCCGTTCTTCCTCTTGTACTTCCCACTCCATTTCCGGGGGCCCGGGAGGAAGATTGGGGAAGTCGTCTGTTCCTCGGCAACGTCTCTCGGGTGCCGGAGACCCCAATCCTGCCCCGGGTACCGCGTCCTCTGCTCCCCCTGCCCAGCTGACCCCTTCCGGGCCGCCGGCTCCCACCCCGCCTTTCCCTGCTGCTTCCCGGGCGGTCTCGGGGCCTGACGTCAGCCTTGCATCCCCCCCTCCCAGGCCTCGGGCCAGCGGCCAGGAGCTGCCTCCCCCAGCCCCCGTCCCGCGGCCCCCAGCCGCCCCCAACCCCGCCCCACGGGCCCGGCGCCATGAGTGAGCTGGAGCAACTGAGACAGGAGGCCGAGCAGCTCCGGAACCAGATCCGGGTGAGGGCCTGGCGGCTGTGATGGGGAGGCCGAGCCCGGCCAGGCGTGGCTTGAGTGTGCTTTGACCTGAGCAGAGTGGGTTGTCTGGGGCCGGGGTGGGTGGGTGGGGGTGTGTGTAGGTGCGCGCGTGTGTTCTGCAGGGTGAGAGGAGAAAGGGGGTGCTAATCTCCCCAAGTCTCCGCTTCATCCTCCCTTGTCTCTGCCTTCTCTGCTTTCTTTACGCCTTCCTCACCGCCCTCCTTCCGGTCTCCTGCTCTGCCCATCGCTTGCAGGACGCCAGAAAAGCATGCGGGGATTCCACACTGACCCAGGTGAGGTGACTGCAGAGCCTCTGGGGAGCACCGGAGGGAGGGCATTGGATGGGCGTCTGTCGCTTGGGTCTCCTCGTGCCATGGGTCTCTCCGTTGTTCCAGATCACAGCTGGGCTGGACCCAGTGGGGAGAATTCAGATGAGAACACGGAGGACCCTCCGTGGACACCTGGCAAAAATCTATGCCATGCACTGGGGGACAGACTCAAGGTGCGTGGGTGGCCCCTGCTTTAGTGCCCCTAGGCTCGGGGGTGATTTTATATAATGGGTAGAATGGTGGCACAGGATGTGAGGGGACGTCCCCTCACCCCAAGTCTGGTGGGGGACCTTTGTCAGTAGGTTTGGGAATATTGATTCCCAGGATCCCTAGTGGACCAGAGATGCAGGTTATACTGAGGATTTGGGGGGATGTCTGAAGAGCGTCTCTAGATGGGAAGGGATAGGGGCCGGGGGCTGGGTGCTGTCCTCACCCTGACCTGTCTGTATCCGCCTGCCCACCAGGCTGCTGGTCAGCGCCTCCCAGGATGGAAAGCTCATCATATGGGACAGCTACACCACCAACAAGGTAAAGCTGGCACTCAGTGGGCAGGTTAGGGCTGCCAGTCCCTGGCTGGCTCTTAACTAGGTGTTGCTCTCCTCTAGGTCCACGCTATCCCTCTGCGCTCCTCCTGGGTCATGACCTGTGCCTACGCCCCGTCTGGGAACTTTGTAGCCTGTGGGGGTTTGGACAACATCTGCTCCATCTATAGCCTCAAGACCCGAGAGGGCAACGTCAGGGTCAGCAGAGAACTGCCTGGCCACACTGGTGAGTGCAGCCTGAAAGGCAAGGACGTGGTCTGGGAGGGGAGGGCGTGCACCGGTCTCTGAAATGTCTGACCACAACCTCCTTTCCCAAGGGTACCTTTCATGCTGCCGCTTCCTGGACGACAACCAAATCATCACCAGCTCTGGGGATACCACCTGGTGAGGCTCTGACAGGCTGGGTTCCCTGCCTTGGGTGATCCAGAGCCCAGCAGGTGGCACATTCCTGAGCACCTAGTCCTCCCCCGGGTAGGGGCCAAGTGGCTCCCCCACCACTTACGGCCCCAGGCCTTCTTTCTAGACAGTCCTGTCAGGACCTCGTGGGGTGGGAGAGCCAGGGATTCTGTCCAGCTCCTTTCTGATCATTCTTCCGATGTCTCTCCAGTGCCCTGTGGGACATTGAGACAGGCCAGCAGACGGTGGGTTTTGCTGGACACAGTGGGGATGTGATGTCCCTGTCACTGGCCCCCGATGGCCGTACCTTTGTGTCAGGCGCCTGTGACGCCTCCATCAAGCTGTGGGATGTTCGGGATTCCATGTGCCGACAGACATTCATAGGTCATGAATCTGACATCAATGCCGTGGCTGTAAGTTGGGAGAATGGTGGACAGCCCCGCACTCTGTGGCCCTGGCCCCACACCCTCATGGTCACCGGCCCAAATCTTGCAGTTCTTCCCCAATGGTTATGCCTTCACCACGGGATCAGATGACGCCACATGTCGCCTGTTTGACCTGCGGGCCGATCAGGAGCTGCTCATGTATTCCCATGACAACATCATCTGCGGCATCACCTCGGTTGCCTTCTCGCGCAGTGGACGGCTGCTGCTCGCGGGCTATGACGACTTCAACTGCAACATCTGGGATGCCATGAAGGGTGACCGTGCAGGTGAGGCTTGTGTTGGGGCCCTCAGAGGGGAGAGGCAGAAAGTGTGGGCCAGACTAGTCCCCATGTCCTTCTCTTCTCTAGGTGTCCTCGCTGGCCACGATAACCGTGTGAGCTGCCTTGGGGTCACAGATGATGGGATGGCTGTGGCCACAGGCTCCTGGGACTCCTTCCTCAAGATCTGGAACTAACCACCCCAACCCCAGATGGGCCTAGGCAGGGAGCATCCCTGCCCATGCCCACACTACAGGCCCAGGGCTTTGCAGCTGGGTACACATGCCAAGCCTCCCTCCCTGGGCTACAGGGCCTTGGGTCCTGCTCCTATACCCAGGTTTGGTTCCTCCCGGGGGGGCCCCCCACTGTGGAGATAAAAGTCGGGATGGAATGGGGGAAGAGGAAGGGCAGGAAAGCCCTCAACCTTTGCTGCCCTGGGGCTGGGGCCTCACCCCTCTGGAGGGCCAGAGGCAAGAGGTGGAAACTCCAGGGGCTGGCTTTTTTAACTGGTTTTATTTTAATTTTTATTATATTTTCAGTTTTTCCATAAAGGAACCACTTCCAACTCTGTACCTAGTCTCCTTGCTTGCTGTTCCCGTCCCCCACAAAGCAGACAGGCAGTGGGTGTGAGGTTCCTCCAGGCTATAGAGGAGGGTACCCGAGGCCAGCAGTTCCCAGAGGTGTACAGCCCTCCCCGACTGCCCTTGCCCCAGCTCAGTACCATGAAAAAGCCAGCAGACAGGTGGACTGGGGGAACACACCGAGTTTTATTGGGAGTATTTACAAGGGTGGGCAGAAGGGAAGTCACATGGGGTAGAGGTAGGGTAAACTGGGGCACACAGGACACCTACACTACCCTGAACCCCAGGAGGGCGTGAGCAGCTAGGGCCCTGTAAGACTGGACGGGGAAGGGTGAAGATGGGGTGGGGTGTCTGAGTCCCTGGGCTAGGGGCTCAGGACTTGTAAACATTGACCACTCTCAGAGGGGATGGGGTGGGAGAGGGCTCCCCCTACACTTCCTCAGGGTTAAGGCCTCTCCAGGCTCATGGGCCCCCAAGTTCAAAGTCTCTTTAGCTGGGGGGAGGGGTAGGAAGAGACAAGTGCCTCCCTTCCCCTGCATTGGCTGTGGCAGGGGCAGGTAGGTTACATTCAGTCACAACAGGAGTCTCTCCCACCCCTCCAATGCCACCATAATGGCAAGAGGGGCGGGGAGCTGGGGGGCCAGCAGCAGCAAGACGTTTCCCCCTGGCCCATCACCCCCTTATTGCTTTAGAGAGAATATTGTCTTTTCACAGACGCTAACACTGTCAAAACCAGGGAGAAGTAGGTGGAGGGCCTTCCACCCAGAGGCCAGCCTTATCCCCACACTGACCCAGTTGCCACTTTGGTGCAAAAAAAAAAAAAAAAAAGAACAACAAAAAAACAAAAAAGCAAAGTCGAAACCAAAGGTCATCTCTGGAGACAGATGGGAAAGAAGAAGAAACGGGGGCCATTCCCCACTTCCCCAGGCCAGAAAAGAGAAATACATTCATGGGGGGGCAGTGGCATCTCGCCCTAATACTGCGTTCTGAGCAATGAGGTCGATGGGAGAACTCACTATAACGTAAGAGCGTATTTTAGAAAGAAAGCAAGCCAACAACAACAGACATGAGCCCAGGCAGGGACGGGGCAGGAGTGAAGTCAGTGAGCAACAGGCAAGGCAGCCCCAGCCTGGACCTGGGCGCGGGCCTCCAGCTCCACCCCTGATGTGACAAACACAGCAAGGAGAGGGCTGCTGGCCCTCTCCCTTTTGGTCAATGGAGGGGTCGGGTGCCGAGCTGTGGTCCGCCTCCCACGCAGCTGGCTGCAGATGCTGGCTGCAGACGGGGCTCCCACAACGGGGCTCCCACAATGGTCCGCCACCATGGTTCAGCCCCAAGCCGCCTTGGGTGTCTTTCCTCACACAAGCAAGGACTCGGCCGTGACAAAGGGAGGCGGTGTCCTCCAGCTGCTGGAGGAAGGGCTGGCCCTTCTCGGAGGGGGGGACGGGCTTGGGGGCCAGAGAATACATTCATGTGGCAAAGGCAGGGAGCCGGGGTTTCAGTGTCGCACCCAGGCTGTCCCCCGAAATGGCAGCAGTGGGGGCAGCCCCTCGCAGGTCTGAGTGCAGACCCCACCTCTGACAGGCTGGCACTGACAGGTCCTTCCCAGGCTCCCTCAGCCAGTGTGGGAGGCTGCTGGGGGTTGGGAGGGCTGAGGCAGCTCGGCCAATTTGTGCAATGTTCCTCCGAGAGCAGGCTGAGGCGAAGGGCAGCCCGGCCCTTACCAGACACCTGCCACAGTAACCACCACAGGGAGCTGTTCACACCGGGGCCAGTGGGCAGGGCTTCTGGAGAGGGCCTCGCTGTGCCAACTGCCAGCACCCAACTTCCAGTTACCCCAGTGACCACCTTCTGGGGGCAGCAGCAGGGTTAAGTTGCAGCCTTAGGGAAGCCAGGCAGGACAGTTCCATGGGGCCTGGTACCCAATGCCCCAAAATAACAGTGTGATTTTTTTTTTTTCTTTCAGCCTAACTTTTTTTTTTCATTATTTTTCATCTTTTCTTAAAAAAACAAAAAACAAAACAAAACAAAAACCAACCCAAAAACAAAACCTCTTGTGGACCTTCCAATGTCACACCCATTATCCCCAAAGGGGTGAAGGGGTCTACAGTCTAGTTTTTGAATGATACTTTTGTCTCTCCTAACATTTAAAATTAAAGAGAAAAAAGCCCCTCCC